TTTTATCGTCAGTACTTAGGAACTTAAACAGCATTACGAAATAGGCAGTAATACGTAACGAGATCGAATCAACGTTGCCCGATGACGTCTGATTTCCCTCAGGTTCTGATCTTGACTTGTGGTTATACCTCTTATGACTCCAATCAAGATAGATGTGATTGGGATAAGGCTACTTCAATAATTACAGTATTAGATCTACGAGTCTAGTAATGTAATTAACTGCTTCGTTATAATGTTAACAAGATTTTTGAGTTATCGGTACACTCATTTTCTACCAAATTATGAAGAAGAATAATATTTTCACCGAATATTTGAATTGTGTGAATTGGTGTGTTTACACCTCTTAACACGTTTACAGCTCAAATCAACCGTTATGAGCACAATATCGTAAGGTTTCGACCCTTCCTGCCCATCGGATTTTGACTCCGGGAGGACCTTCAAATTTGCAGCCATATAAACTAGCTTCTAGACTAGAGACTTGGGATATACGACCTCCAGCTATAACTCACTACTTATTATGAATAAAACAAAAACTTTTACTAGTTTAAAATTTTTATATTCAAGAAAAATCGCAATTATGTCCAACAAATAGACAAGATCTCTTTTTCATTCCGAATATTGTTTGTACATATTCGTCTCCAAAAACGCCTTAAGCACAGCTCCTAGCATAGACTTTCCGGGCCACTTAATTAAACACAAACTTAATTTTATAAGCACCTTAGTGTCTTTGCTATGGAAACATGATTAAATTTTTCGGTTTCTTACAAGCTTAAATAAATTTGTACCAAGAATATAAATATTATAATGCCTAGAAAAATCAGAATTTGTGTAACAAATCTTCAATCATATCAAAAATAAGGTTTTGGAATCGGATTTGGTATTTTATAATAAGCTAAATACTTTTTTACTTTTACATGATGTTGAGCACTCGCTTGGAAAACCGAGTATAGCGGGTTCAATCCCGGGTCTTGCACCTCTGATATTTTCATGTGAGGATCATTTCCAGTATGATTACCTTGTCTTACGGTGAAGGAAAACATTGTGAGGAAATCTGCATGTCTGAGAGAATCAAGCAAGTTTTCGAAAGACATGTGAAGTCCTCCAACTTAGCTAATATAGTGGTAACTTAGCCTCTCAAGCGAAGTTATCAGGCTATGGCTTGATCCTCCTTGTATTGTAGAGAGGCATTAAAAAAGCAGACATTAAAAACTGTTGAATACATGTAAAAAGACCAAAATTAAAATTTTCAGCGTACTAGATTTTTCTACTGGGACTGTATCTCTACGGTTAGATATACATTAACAAAACGCGATACGCGACATTAAACATTGCGCATTGATCGAATAAAATTAAATTAGATTTTTGTAGTATCCTTGGTTAAGGTATATACCTAATCTATACCTATTAATACATAAAGCTGAAGAGTTTGTTTGTTTAAACATTATTGAATTATTATGTTACAAAATCAAATTAGCTTATTTAAGTAATCTAAAAATTGTATATATATACATATATTATATGTATTTAAGTTCTTTCTATACAATTTTGCGTGACTTGTATTTCCAATTCGTTAGCACACACTCTGCTTTGTATGGTACCGCAAAGTTCGGGTTACTCGAGCTTTGAAATCTGCTCAACAAAACCAGAACCTTGCCTATGTTATTAACCGACTTAAAAAAAAATAGAAGGTTCTCAATTCGAGTGTGTTTTGTTTTGTGTGATGTTACACGATATCCTTGTCTATTGTGAACCAATTTTATTGGTTTTTTTCATAAATCAAACAATATTTACCCTTCATTTGAATGAGAAAAAGAAATTCCTAGTCTATGGGTGGAAGATTTAATATGACCAAAAATAATATCCATTGCTTACAAGAAAACAATGCACAAATACGCGGACGGGAAGACATGTAGGGAAACTACGAAAATTTCTATAATTTTAAATAAAACTATCTTTTCGGATTTTTTCGCGAATTAATTTTAATTTTTTTTCCCGACGTTTCGAATGCTTTACAACAATCATGATCACGGGAGAGACTATAATTGTTTTTTGTCTGCATTTAATACATTCTATCATGCACAATTAGCGTCTCAAAAGTAAAAAGTGTCCTCGAAAAGAAGTGTAACTACAATTTGAAATTGAGTTGCGTAAGTTAATTTGTGTTAAGACAACAAAACTTTCGATTTTTGAATTTTTTCTTTGGTTTGAGTTAATTACACATGTTGACGTAATTTTCTGTAAAGATATTTGTTACGAAACGTTATCTATGTTTTTATATATTAACTAACGACTCAACCCCGCTCCGCTGGGGTTCGTCCCTGTAAGTTACGTTTGAATCTTTAGTATGTATTTCTCAGAGAAGAGGTATCTTCACGCAGTAAAAAGTATCCTATTGTTGACCCGAACAATCAGCTACCACCATATCAATTTCATCAAAATCCCTCCAGTAGTTTTTCCGTAATGCCGTCACGGACAGACAAACAGACGAAAATTCTAAAAACTAAGATTTGGCCTATGTATCAATAATAATGACAATTTTAATAAGCTTTCCCAAAAAAATATTCAATTTACAGGTTCGATTCAGAATTTTATTATATGTATAGATAGCATGAACGCGAAAGTTCATTACATTAATTGATTAGTTTGCATGGAGAAATCATGTGTACAACAACAATTTAACGAAATTAATGAGACGATTTAGATTAAAAAAAATTATGTGTTATTGTACTAGCCGATCTTCTAATATGTAAAATTCTCATGTCACAGTGTTTGTAACAAAACTCCTCCGAAAAAACTCGACCGATTCTTATGAAATTTTGTGTGTGTGTTCAGTTGGACATTTTTTTAATTTCTTTTGTTTTGGTTCGGAAATAAAAACAAACCTAAATTATCACTAGAGACGAACCCGAGCAGAGCGAAGGTGAGTCGCTAGTGATAAATAAATAAATTATTGTACTAAAAATAATATCATAATATCATGTACCTATCTAAATGAATATAATGGAGTTAAAAAAATAGTGAAATATTAGCTAAAATTGTAAAAACTTTTTTACACTTCATTACCTACTAGCGATTTACGCTCGTATCCCAAGGGTGCAATAAAAGGAAATTTTAAAGACACATATTTTAAATAAAACTATCATTTCGGATTTTTTCTCTCTTTTTATCTTCTTTCGTCACACTCATGTGACGTAACATGACGTGACCATGATTTCTGTAAAGCACTCGAAACGTCGGAAACCAAAACTCAAAATAAATTCGCGAAAAAATCCGAAAAAATAGTTTGAAGTAAAAAAATGCCCTGTAAAATATAGGACAAAGTACCTACACTAAGTAAAATCAGATCCGAAAAGGGCAGAACAACGTTTTTATTCAAACAGTTTACTTTATTCAAACAGATTAAATTGTCAAATAGAGTAATCACTGTAAAATAATATCTACCAAAATCCCAGTAATACAATATATTATACCAAAATCAAATCAAGCAATCAGTGAACTATACCAAAAACAGATACGAATTTTAAATGAGATTATCGGTTTTATATTTTTTGAAATTCGTCGCATTAAAAATAGCGGTGATTAAGGTTTACGCTATAATAACACAATTATTAGTTCCTTGCTTATTAATTGTTTACCTGTCAGAGACAAAGCCCAATAGAATCGCTATATAATTACATAAAACTGGGGGCCTAATGACGTTTATTGTTTGGACGTTTGGTTTAATTTTAGGTGCTTTGTTAATTCAATTAGAAATAATTATGGGGTCTATTTATCTATACTAGTGTTGGGCCAGTGTTTAAAATTCGACTATAATCATTTTTTATTGACAACACTAAAGCTCATCACTATCTACTAAACAAAAAAGGTCAGATGCCAGGTATTGTTATTAAAATAGTTCATTAGTCCATTTTCATTACTGCAATATTGGAGTAACCCTTATTTTTTATATAAATAAAGTTTACAAGGTTATATCAAAGGATGAGTTATAGGTAATTTTTTATATTTATATATCAAAAGAAATTGTAGTAAAGAAAAATAGGTGCGTGTAATCTTTACGCACGGTAAAAGTAAAACTTCTTTGGTAAATATCGCAATTAAATTAAAACAAATCAACAATAATTAAATAAGGCATATTAAGGATATTACAATCATATATTTATAGAATATCGTATACGGAAAGAATATAATATTACATATTTGTCAGACAAAAACAACGATTAACATGGCAATTAGTCATAATAGCTTTTTTTTAATGTATGTTTAAAAAGTTAAAAGTTATTTTACATTTTATTTAACATATATTACATAACATACTATTCAATATTATTTTTCACTTTCTGGATTAACGATTTCAATGTCATTTCCTTGCCGGCTTATTCCTATATATTTATGTGTTTGTCTCTTTCTATGTCGCATTTTCGTTTCATCGAGTTTCAAATCACAACGTTACTAAAGAAGTTTAACTTTAAAAAGAAAATAGGTAGACAAACGGAGTAGAAAAGGTACTAAGTTGTTTTGTTCTTACCTATCTACGTTATATCAAAAAACTAACCGTTTCCATAATTATTTTATTGATAGCACTAAAAAACTACTTAAAAAATGAGAATTGGTTGACAAACAGAGGAGAAAAACTGAACTCATGTCTTTGTTTATATATATATATAGATACTACCTGCTTAGTACTTCATGGCTCCTAATTATTCGTTTTAAAATAAACCGATATTCCTCGGGATCACACAAATAGATTCTAGCATGAAACTAATCAATGCCTCGACTCATATACTTCTTCTTATACATATATGTATATTGTATATACAATATATACATACATAATATATACAATACTTCAAGTGAATCCGTTAATATTTTAAAGCAGTAGAACGCCGACAAGCGATTTTTATTTTATTTGCAATAGATACTTAACCAGAAGACTAGAATAAAAAAAAAATGTGTAGCGGAAATGTTTTAAACGGCATAGCCACCAAAACGTGATTTTTTTAATTTCCATCTCTCTTACTGCGAACCTTAAAAGAAAGGTTTATTTATTAGAATTAAGTGAATAAGATTCTACTTATTAATTATTCATTTAACAAATTAAAATCATAGTTATATTAGGCTGCTGCTTATACTACTAACGGAAAATCCCATCAGGCTCACGTGTATATAAATAAATTTAGAATTAAGCACTATTTTACCACTGAGACTGACATTTAAGCTTAAATATAAACTTAAATGTATGGATAAAGCCAGTGTTTATTTATTTATTTATTGAATAAGGCTTACCAACTAGAGTATATACACAAACTTAATCACTAAAATAATGTTAATAAATTCCTTTTTTGTATATAACTCTAAATTACAGGCATGCACAACATTTTATAATTAGGTAATACATACACTCTACTTAAATGACAATAATATTAAAAAAATAAATGAAGTGTAACACTAAATAATATCTTTAAGATTTCTTTTAAAATTGTATATTGTATTTGAAAATATATCTATAACAGGATACTTGCGAGAGATTTCATTATAGTTTATTAAGATTTTGTTTAAAGGTGAGTTTTGTCCGAATCTATTTTGTCTTAAACTAATGTAAAAAGGTTGAAAATTACTCAATCGTGCGGAAGAGCGAGCAACTTGTAGTCCTATCTTAGATATTATGTTTGGCGAGTCTACACAGTTATTCAATATTTTATAAAGAAACATTAACCCAAGAAGTTTTTGGCGCTTTAATAATGAGTCCATGTCAAAGAGATTTAGCCTACCCTCGTACGTAATATGTTTTCTGTTTGGTACAGAATTGGTAGTGTAAACAAGTCTAGATGTAAACTTTCTTTGAACTTTTTCAATTCTTTCAATATGGTTTTGATAGTAGGGATACCAAATTACACAACAGTAATCTACATTACTCGTACCAATGCATTGTATAGAGTTTTTAAAGCATGTACAGATTTAAATTCTCTTGTATTACGGTATATGAAATTAAGCATCTTAAAACAAGTACGGATAGTTTTGTTGATGTGGCTTTTAAATTTCATTTCAGAATCTATTATAACACCAAGATCCCTAACTTCATTTATTTCTTTTAGTAATGTTTTATTAATATAATAATTTGATAAGTATTTTTTTCTTTTTCGCGAGTACTTGATGTGGTAACATTTGGATATATTTAATTCCATTCGATTAAGGATACACCATTCATAAAGATTATCAATGTCCGACTGTAGCATTTTTTGTTCTTCTTCATTTCTTACAATTCTGAATATTTTTAAATCATCGGCGTATAAGGCAAATTCTGACTTTGTTATTGTATATTTAATATCGTCAATAAACATTAAAAATAGTAAGGGGCCCAAGTGTGATCCTTGAGGTACCCCAGATGTTGGTGTAAAGATTTTTGATCTAAAGCCATTAAGGACTACAGTCTGAGACCTATTAGTTAAATATGAATTTACCCATGTTAAAAGATTTCCGTGTATGCCAAAATAATGTTGTAACTTAAAAAGTAGCAATTCGTGATCGACTTTATCGAATGCTTTACTGAAATCGCTGTATATGGCATCGACTTCATTGCCTGAACTAATTTTACTTAAGATATCTTCTACAAATGTAACAAGGTTTGTCACTGTAGATCTCATTTTGAGAAAGCCATGTTGGTGATCAGTTAGCATTTGTTTTACATGCCAATACATAATAGGATAAATTGAGGATTCGAAAACTTTAGCTATAGTACATAACAAACTTATAGGTCTGTAGTTAGAAATTTCAGTTTTATTTCCTGATTTAGGTATTGGAACAACTAACGCTTCCTTCCATTTTGAAGGAAAGACTGCTTCTTGTAGGGATATGTTAAACAAAAAGAATAGAGGAGTTGACAGTTTCTTTGCACACATTTTGTAAAAAATGGGTGGAAGACCGTCGCTGCCTGAGCCCTTTTTCTCATTTAAAGTTTTTAATTTAATTTCTATGTCTTTTGTGGATATTTCTATTGTACTTATAGAACTTAGATTGTTACTGACGTTGGTTTTGGACATAGCTAGACAGTCGAAAGGGACAGTATTGTGTGATTTGGCAAGATATACGGATGAAAAATGTTCAGCAAAAAGATTAGCCACCCCTTCACTGTCGTTAGCATATCCATTCCCCAACTTCATAGTTCCCGGTATAGTACTTTTTACTTTCCTTTTGCTTTTCGTGTAAGACCAGAAATTTTTTGGATATTTAATAATTAATTCCTCTACTCTATCGCAGTATGCTACGTATAGTTTGTCAATGAGTTTAGTAGTTCTCTCTTTTAATAAATCATATTCATATTCATCAAGCTTATTGCCAAAAATTTTAAATAATTTTCTATGTTTCTCTTTTTCTTTTAAAAGCTTTATAAGATTCTTACTGTACCATCGAGGATACTTGGAGTTGCGGTTGCAGTTATATTTGGGTACATTTTCTTCAATTATTTTGCCAATAATACTATAAAATTTAGCAACGGAATCGTCGACACTGGAGCACTTATTTAATTGATCATGCCAGTCTATGCTGCTTAGTCGTTCATTAATTTGATTATAATCAGCTTTGAAAAAATTACGTTGTAAAAACGGTTTACATTTTAAGGATTTTATTTTAGGCAAGCTTATTGTGATTTCAATGGGTGGATGGTATTGGTCCACTTTAGATAAATAGCTTGTGCTTTTTTCCACAGCAATATCGTGATCCCAATTTGTCAGTACTAGATCCAACATTTTATTTTGGTTATTTTTTACATTATTAAATTGATTTAAATTATTGGAAGACATAAAATCAATAAGAGTGTACCCTAAATTACTATTAATGTTTAGTGGGTGAGCGTATAAATATTTATCTTTTGTCCAAGAAATATGGCACATATTAAAATCACCTATTATAAAAACGTTATTTAATTTATCTATAAAAGTGGAGGTTTTAACAGTAAATGTTTCCAAACTATCGACATTAACCGGAGGTGGGATATAAATCGCACAAATATAAATTTCAATAATAGATGTATTTTGCAATGATATATCTATTTTTACCCAGATATCCTCACATTCACTTTCGTATGAGCAAATCCTTGTTGCCTTATAAGATTTATCTACAGCAATAAGGACTCCTCCTCCATTTTTATTTCTTCCAAAGGAATTATAGCACTGCCTATCCCTCCTAAAAACTTCATATCGACAGTCAAATATTTCCGCATCGTAAATATTACTATCCAACCATGACTCTGTAATAACTATGACATTGTAATTATTAGCCAAAACATTTATATTAATATCGCGTAATTTAGTCTTCATTCCTCTAATGTTTTGATAATATATATTTAAACAATCGAAAGAAAAATCGTTAAGTACGAAAAAAAATGATCATCAAAAAAAACTTAACACTAAGAAAATTTTTTACAAATGAAAGTTACAAATTATTCAATGTTTCCAATTTTGTTATTAATTTTGCCGGAGAATTTTCATCTTTTCTTATCAATATCTTGCCGTTTCGAACCCATACGAAACGGTATTGTTTTTCTTTAGCTTTTAAGCGGGTGGCTGCATGTAGTTGCTTATTTTCTGGAGTCAGGTGTTCTCCAATGTAGACAGGCGATGAATTGTCCGCAATCCCCAACAGCGAAGCGTTCAGCTTTTCCTTAGGGTGTTTTTTATTGTATTTATAAACTGCGGCCAAGAAGTTATCTCTCTTTAATTTGCTGACGAATCTGCATACTATTGTTCTCGGTTTCTTTGATAAATTGTCTATTCTTTTAACTCTATAACACGCTACTATATCGTTGTCAGCCAAAGAAAAACTTATTACATGGCTCATCTGTGCCATAGTTTTAATTAGATTTTCGTTATTGAACTCTGGTAAGCAGTGAATTTCTATATTATTTTGTCGTGCGTCTTGTTGCATATGCGATAAAGTTATTTCCAGATTTTTAACCGTACTCAACAAATTATTCGATTGGGAAATTAGCGATTTAACTTCTTCGGACCGTTTTTCTAAAGCGTTTTTCATTTCGTCGTATTGAGAATTAACGAAATTAATAGATTCTTCTAAGGAACTTATTTCCTTTTTTATGGCAGCGAATTCCGAAGTTATTGTTTCTCTTATTATTCCTGGTAATTCAGACCTTAAAATACTCAACATTTCAGTCCGGAGATTTGTAGAGCTACAGGTGCAACTATTATTAGTATTTGAAGAAGTCTTCTGACGACGGAGCGTGACATTAGTATCGTAAGTGTTCTCAACGGCTGGTTTGATTGGGGTATTGTCATTTGACAACCCTGCCTTACGTTGCTCCGATAGTAAAATTACCGAACAACTCGGGCATTTCCAGTAACGTTTATTTTTCGTTTCGACTGTTATGTTAACACAAGCCAGGTGATATTCGTTATTGCAGGACTGTGAGCTACATTGAATTTTTTCATTCGATTTTTTAATATCTTTATTACATCCTTGGCATGTATTCATTGTGACAGTTTGAATTTAATATTACTAAAGAAAAATTTGCAAATAAATAGAAAATATAGTTTGTTCCGTGAGGATCGAACTCGGGTCGCTCGGTTGAAAAGGTTTTGAGTGGCTTATACGACAGAACGTCCACTTGTGTCGTTACGTAGTTAGTTGAATTAACCAAATAGGACAGTCACTTAAGTTGCAGAATAAACAAATTATTGAGATTTTGTTTCTACCGACTTTTTCTTTTTTTTCCTTAAGTAAAAAGAATGTCTCGCTTTATTTAGTTAATTAATACATGGTTGCACTTAATTCACTTATTTGACTTATTTCACTTGTTTCATTTTGCATTCAAGTTAATTTACCTTAGTTTATCACATTTCTCTTAAAGACACTATTTAACAACTTTTGTTCGAAAACATTGTCCATAGGTTTTAGCTTTCCAAAAATGGTAAAAGACTTCCCTGTAGCAGTGGATAACACTTGTAGCAAACTATTGTTAAACATTAAACACTTTTATTGTGTAATTTGTAGGAAAATTAAAAGTTTTATATTTTTAAAACACGGAACTAGGCAGAGCGTATGTACTTGTGTTGACAGTGACTTATGATTTAACTTGTGGATGTTTATGTAGTCTGACTGAAAATATCTTTTACTATCTATTTACCGTCACTACGCTCGCGTGCGTCCCTACGGACCTAATAGTAGTCGATAAAGCAACTTAACGTACATTTTTCCCAGTTTCAATTAGAGTATATAATACGATTTCTAAAATTACGTAGTCTGGCCATAAATACTGTTACAATTAAAAATAAACAAAATATTATATTTGAATTTGGAATCTGTCATTTTTATATGATTGTTCATTGTGTTTTCATATTTTCACGCCAATACATTGTAAAACATTTTGTGATATTAAAATGGAGTGGGGTGATAAAGAGAACCGAATCGCTGTGATTGCATTACACAAAGTAGGTATGGAGCCAAATATAATTTTTAAAACTCTCCATACGCTTGGTATTAGTCAAATGTTTGTGTACCGGGTTATTAATAGGTACATTAAAACCTCCTCTGTTTGTAAGAGAAAAAGATCTGGCCGTCCACGTATTATAATAGCATTCAGCGGTAATGTACTAATAAGCTTCCTATTAGTGAAAGAATTTATATAATCGAATGAATAGTTACAAAAATTACCCCTTACATCTAAACTTACAAGCTTTAACTCTTTATAATATTATTGAAGATTTACTTCACATTGAAAGTAAAATCAAATATTCTGCATGCAAAATCAGAGGTAGAAGCCAGTTATCTTGAACACCAAACATTACGTACTAGGTACGAGAAACAAAATAAAGTGCAAAGCATTTGATCGACTTAGCGACTATATTCTAGTCTACACAACTTTCTGAACATTCTTCTATTCTCATTGTTCTAGTCAACACTTTTAGAACCTTTTTAATTGACCGAGCTAGCGAAACGTCTTTGCTTCTGGCAAAATTTGTGGGTATTTCTCTACAGGTCGTATTTTACAACAGATGGACGAAACTTGGTATACAGATTTTACAACTTTGTAGATTTTTTGTCGTCGGGGATTTTTGATTGGAGGAGTACTTACTCCAAAAAAGGGGGAAAAGTGGGCTACTGGATATCTTCGCCTTAGAAGACCCGATTTCGATGATAGTTTTCTTATCTGAAAGGTTTAAGCTGGTCTCATAAAAAAAATGGTGAAGATCTGATGAGGATCTTCGGCGGATGAACAGGATATTTCCTCAAAATGCAGTAAATTGTTCACATAACCTTAGTGGTATATTAATTGTTGCAAAAATGTTTATGCTCATGATATCTATTGTTCGAAGAAGTACTAGTAAATAACTTTGAAATGATATAAATATTAGTTTATTATTTTTTTATTTAATTAGTATTGATTTATTTAACAGGATATCTATACTTTTTTTGAAATTTATAATTGAGTTGACAATTAAATGACTCCAATAAGGCTGTTCTTTAGGTAGAATCAAGCAAGTAGTCCAAAGTTGGAGAACAACAACCAATACATGTATGTATAGTGTATGTACATATGTACATAATATTATATGTATATACAAAAAGGTATATATATATATATATATATATATATATATATATATATATATATATTCATTTTATTTAAGTTAATATATCTTGTTTGCTTTTAGGTTTGTTTGTCATCAAATTCCTGTGAATACTCCAATTCAAAGCTTAGTTCAGTCAAGTAGGTACATACATACTAAACTGTTAGTGGCTATAGTGCATCTTGACTATGCCCGTGTATACAACATGAGGGTAGTGCTTTGTACACACTGTCGTGATATAAAGTACTTAGGTTCTCAAACTCAATTTAATATCCACAAGCACTAGTAGAGTCTTGCCGTAAGTAAAGTTTCCAGTTTAATTAGTCCTTTTGTGTCAAAAGTATATTATGAATATTCATAGCTTGCATATTTACAACACACAGAATGTGAAAGGTGTCATGATCAGGACAATTTTTAGTGTAAGATTTTGAGAAATAAAAGATGTATTATAAAAAAGTTTTTCTATATAACGTAACTATATCTACATACATATTTTGTGTGTGTACGTAGGTACATATTTATTACTTGTTATATTTGGCATGTTCAAATTATTAAGAAATCTAAACAACTTTCACGCTAACTCCGGGCTAAAATACATGAAACACTTATTAATACAGCTGCTCGTAGTTTTCAAGTTTTTTTATTCATATTATTTTTTCCCCATATTTGGAGCCATTAAATTTCCTTATAAGTTCTATGAACGTTAAGGGTACCTATAATGATACGAGTGCAGAATACTTTTCCAAAAGCAATCACTGATGTCGGATTTATTTCGTCAAACGTCCCTATTGTATTTTACGTTATATTAAGATTCAAAAACTTTATCACTATAGCATAAGAGCGAAATTGCAACGAGGAAATTTCTTACAAAGACCCATAAAATGATGGGTCGATTTACAAAGAAAAGGGCAGCCGGAAGGTAGAGCTCGTAATGATAAATTTACCTTTCAACAAAAAACTTTGCGTATTTTGACGAATGAGGCTTCATTTGCAAATAAATTTTCGCATATCTTACTGCGAAAATCGTACCAAACTAAATCTCTGTGTTCGTACCTGAATTGACTACTTACTTATATCAAAAACTGTGAAATATACCGTAGCCTCAGCTAATAATCATGGTCTACGCTTCATATAAACGCTAAAAAGAGTAAAATCTACATAATAATATTTCCTCGACTAGGTCCACCTACTTCTTTACTCTAAACTCATTTCAACTGAACTATTTTTAATTCAAACTATAATGTGTACAGTAAACAAAAACTTCGTCAAATGTTGAATTCGTGTAAACATTTACGACAAATAAAACAAATACACTATTATTTTCGACTAAATACACTGTTAAGCAGTTTATTGTTCAAGAAACCAAAAAAATCAATAAATCGATAGATATGAGAAAATATGTGTTGTCTTTTTTGCTGTTCTGACAGATATCAGATAACAACAAGATTAATATTCTCATGTTATCTAGATACAATCTAATAATCTATAATCTTTCACCTGTCACCAATTCACCCCTTTTTAACGTCCCACTGCTGGGCTCGGGCCTCCCTGCAATAGGAGGGGGAGGCCATAGTCCACCACGCTGGCCAAGTACGGGTTGGCGGACTACATATGTCTTTTGAAAACTTGCTAAGTACTCTCAGACATGCAGGTTTCCTCATGATGTTTTCCTTCACCGTTAAGACAAGTGGTAATCATGTTGGATATGATTCGCACATGAAAATATCAGAGGTGCGAGACCCGGGATTTGAACCCTAAAACAAGCGAGCACGTTACCACTGGGCACCTTTCGTAACATAACGTTTCAGCTGTAACTACAAGTAAATAGCGTTAAATTAGTACTAAATATTTTACATCACATGTAATAATTCTAATAAAACATTACTAAATTTATTTCGTAGGATACATTTATTTCGAAAGATCTTTTTGGGTAAGAAAAAATATATTGTGGAGAATAATAGAAACATTTTGTAGTTACTTTCATTATTATTATGAAAACACACATTGTACACCTTTTCGCCTTGAATAAGGTACTTTGTATGTTTTCGCGAGGCCTTTATAGGGTAATCTATATATTATGTATAGCTTACAATTCCTCGTTATCGATTTTCTTCAATCCACTACGGTACTCATTGTTGATATCATTTTTTTTTTCAGAACGAAAGCGATCAAACTATAATGACACTATGCGTTTACTTGCGTATACATAATTCGTTGGCTCACTATTACAAGGTTCTATGTAAATTTTAATGAAGTTAAGTAATTTTTACATAGAACTTCGTTATTTTGTTATCGTAAAAAAAACAACATAGAACTATGTAAAATTGAATATTTTATAGTTAAAGTGCCGCTATCTAGCGGTTTGTTTTTGCAAAACTGTAGCTAATGACACATAGAACCTTGTAGCATTAATGACTAAATAAGTACTAAAATTGTAACATAGAACCTTGTAATAGTGAGCTAACGAATTATGTATGTACACGTCAAAGACTACATGACGTCTGTGTTGTTTTAGTTTCACGATAAAACGGTATTCGAACACAGAAAGTGCTATCAAAGAAAAATTAACGAGAGAATATAACTATCCATACTAATATTATAAATGTGAAAGTGTGTTTGTTTATTTGTCTTTCTTTCACGTCGAGACGGCTTGGCGGATAGGCGTGATTGTTTGTGTGGAGATAGTTGGAGGGCTGGAGAGTAACATGGATACTTTTTACCGCGGGAGATTATCTCTTTCCCACGGGAAAACACGTTATAATACAATCTAAAAAATATTTATGATCAGAATTACTTAAAATTAAAAAAAGCTCTTCAATACAATTAATTAAATACGTGTTTAACCATTTTTCGAAATCTATCAAATAAGAAAGTAAAATAGCGGATGAAAGTTCGTAATAAACC